GAAACACTGAAATAATAAAGACATAAATGGTAATTGCAGATTCCTTTGTACAACTTGCAGTATAATAATATTTGTATTTTTAGTGGAAAGTTCTTGATGTACAATGAATGTAATATACAGTATATTTATATAAGCATATATATTTTCACTTGAAAACAAAAGTCAAAAGGTATTGTGCAATTCATTATAACTTTTATTGTTCTGTCTCAATACAATATGAAGAAAGAGTGCTAAATATTACAGTATATAATAATTTGAAAAACAGATTTGTTTGTTTATTTCACAAGGACTAGCAACAGATATACATTATATGATTCTACCATAATACTGGACATTTTAACACTACAAATTAACATCAACATATTTTGGCTATTACTGTGAAAGAAGAGATTTAAAAAATCCTAAAAATTGCACTTACTCTATAAATATGAATAGATTATTTATTTGACTAAGTATAATGTATTTGCAAATATCCTCATGTAATTGCTGAAATTAAGATTGTATTTTTTATTTAAATTATTTTTTTATTTATTTTATTTATAATTATTAATTTATTATTGCAAATATTGTTATTTTTGGTTAGGGAAAAATATGTATCATGTTCTGGAAACCCAAAATTTCAAGTGAGATATGAATAACTAAAACAGCTGAGGACTTCTACAGATTTAGTATTAAAAAAGTAAAGTATTATCTTAAAGTGACTTCGAAGGCATTTTACCCATTAGGTGTTTCTTTGTGTTTAATTCAGGCTTCAGTAAAATGATATAACATTTTGGGGAAAATATGCAGAAAAGTAAACCAAAACTCGATGCCAAAATTGCAAATATTTCTACAGCAACCGTGAACTTCCCAGGAGAGCTGATATAAGCTGGGATAAAGGTGATCCAGACAGCACAGAATATGAGCATGCTGAATGTAATGAATTTGGCTTCATTGAAGTTATCAGGCAGCTTCCGAGCCAGGAAAGCGAGCACAAAGCACAAGGCAGAGAGGAATCCTATGTA